ACTTGGAGTTTGCTTTTCCAAGCGTGCGTTCCTATTCACTCTGGAGTAAGGGTTTTCTTGCACACGGCCAGAGGGAATCCTGCACCTACCTGAACGTGGGAAAGGTGCTTCCGCGGCTGGACCCGTTCTGTGAGAGGCTCGGTTCTTCCCTCCAGCTGTCTTACCTTGGGCCTCCTTGTGGAAGGCTGGAAATTCAGGGGTATTCAGGGAAGGGGTTAAGGAAAGAGCAGTGTAGGGATTTGTTTTGGTAAATCAAAGTTTGACTTGTGCTGCTCAAGGAGGATCTCATTATTTTGTAATTATGTACTTTTCCATACGCATGAAGTATAGAATTGGTCACAGCAGATGGTTCTGGGCAAAGCATTTGAAAAGAATCCTCCCAAAGTAGCTCCGGGAACTGGATGTGGATTTTTGTGAAGCATAAACACATTTTTCCCTACCTTCCAAATAACAGACTGGACACTGCCAGCTGTCATATTTATTTTACTATTTTTGAAGAAGTAAAACTTTTCCCCCGTAAAATAGTGTGCAGCTTGTGATGGCAGAAGACACTTGGCCCTAAGAGCCCCGTTATAAACACGCAGAGGATTTACGGCTTGGCAAAAGCACTATTTTCTCCTAGTAGCTTTAAACACCTCTCAAACCCTCTGGCGGTGCCACCGCATGGGCTGCTCACTCTGGACACACAAGCAGTATGTGTGGCGGGGTGTGTGTCTCCCCCAGTGCCTGTACTCTCGTGTGCCTGTGCTACTGTCCAGGGGAGGGGCAGGCTGACCAGTGTGGCTGCCTGCGCTCGAGTGGTGACTGGGGCTCGGGGGGTCGTGGAGTGGCTCCCAGGCTGCGTGAGAGGACCGGCCCTGAGCTCGTGCTGCCCCGAGGGGCTGTGGAGCAGCAAGGCCCTTGCCAGATGCAGGGAGGAGTTCTGGCCTCCTGGCCTGAAGAGCCCTCTGTTCTTTATAAATCCCCCAGTCTCGGGTGTCTTGTCATAGCAGGGGAGACGGACTCCTCACCACTGCAGGCCCTGGCGAGGGGATGGGAGGGCACCTTCCCAGCAGGCAGCATCTTTTGCTTTGTGGCAGGGAGCATTTGTTCAGTCTCTGCCAGGAGCGTCTCCCTCACGACTGCTGTGAAGCAGACCTGTTCCAGGGAGCGCCAGGGACCCTGCCAGGAAGCGGGTCTGAGACACAGAGGGAGCTGCCTGCTGCACTTGGACATGGGTCCCAGGGCACAGCGAGCGTCCTGGGGAGGCGACACTTGAGCGCGTGCTCATGTAGGGGAAGAGGGACGAGGCTGGGCTGGAGCAGGTGGGGCAGTTGGGTGGGAGCTCAGGGTAGGTGGTGTCCTGTTCTTTGCAGTGCATCCTCAGGATGCGGGAGCCCCTGAGGGCTTGCTGCTGCGTTCTGACTTAGTTTGGAGAGGTCTAGCCTGCAGGAGAACAGAGGCAGATGACTCGCTTCCCGGCTGGGGTGACTCTGGGGAGCTGGGAAGGGGCCCGGAATCCCTCAGCCTTTGATTCTATTTTCTTTATAGATCAGAAATGGAGACGTCTTGGGGAAGTTTGCGTGGCATTTTGGCTGCACGTGTTTCCTCCTGCTGGAGCCCCAGCCTCCGTGGGGTGGTGATCCTTCCCTGTGTGAATACTGTCTCGGTGGCATGGCAAGTGCACCGCTGACCCAGGGCCCCTTCTGCTAACTGCTTCTTTTCCTGCCCTGTGTGGCTGTTGTGTGGGCAGGGCGGTGGACTTAGCCGGTCCACACGCTCTGTCCATCGAGTGACATCCAGGTCTTCCACATGGGCCCATTCCAGCTGTGGCCTTCAGCTTCTCCCTTGCTTTAGGAGCTTCACAGGCCTTCTGAAAAAACTGTACTTGTTTGAGTGGGCCACAACCAGCTGTTTTCTGTGTCCCTCGAACTCTGCTAGATGTAGAGGATGTCGGAGGCCTCGTTTCACACCCGGGTTTGAAGGCGACTCTGTTAGTCTTTCCTGCTGGGTTGGAAGGGAGTAGGGGGAGGAGGCAGGGTGTTATTTGCAGTCATGGAGCCAGGGCAGGAAATGAGGCTTCTGCAGACCAACTCTGCTCCTTGCTTGAGTTGCTCCTCTGTCCACCTGCAGCAGGTCAAATTAGCATCAACACGCGGGCCCACTTGGGGTCACAGTCCTTCCTCAGATGCAGGTATGTTACATCTTGTCTTGTCTTCTGTGAGGACTGTAGCACATCCACCTGTCTGCCTCACTCTCTACCCATCCATCCATTGTCTGTGTGTTGTAGGCAGAGAAGAAGATCCCTAGAAGAGGCTTTTAATCCAATCACAGCCCAGGCACACTACTCAGAAGTGTTGGCTAGGACTCGCCTCTGCACCATGCTGACGGTCAGCCCCAGCTCTCGTGGCTGGGGAGGGTGTTTGGCCTCCGTGTTGTCTTCTGATTCCTGAATTGGGAGGTCGTAGTAGCGTGGCACTGTCAGGATGAACTGGGAAGCAGGGTAATTGCAACTGACTGGCACCGAGCAGGAGCTGCAGGAAAGGATTTCCAGAAAAGTTATTTTGGGACAGGCAGTACCAAGGAGATTGGATGCACATATTTATAGAGGTAAGCACAGAAAGCATTGAGACCATGGCTTGTGCTTTGTGCTGTTGTGCAGCCCCTCACAGAGAAGGTGTAGAGCCATTTCCTCTTGTTCCCACGTGAGCTTGGGGAGAGGGGAAGTTCTGCTTGTCCTAGAGGCAAGCCCGCCACCTCCACTTCCTCCTCAGCCCCTCCCCCATCGGTGGGGACCCGGTGTCTCTCACCGGCTGATCTGGGGGCACGGAAGACCGTCCGCTCTTTCCACTGCCCAGTGTTCTTTGTCAGGCACGGAGAGGGAGCCCAAGGCCCTGCTCTGTGGAGTGAGCGGCGCGGTGTGCGTCTGCAGGCACACACTCTGCTGCAGCCCAGAGAGTCACTGGTGAGGGGCGCAGTCAGGGCTTGGCTCTGGAGAGCATGGTGCTCTGAAAAGGGCGCTCTGAGCACAGGACCGGGCAGGGAATCCCCTCTCCTCCCCACCCACCTTACCGAGGATGAGCCCAGGGCTTTGTGCATCTAGGCATGTGCTCCGCCCTGAGCTGCATCCCCAGCCCCCTTTACTGTTTGAGACGTCACTCTACATTGCCTAGGCTGGCCTCAAACTTTCCATCTCCCGTCTCAGTGGCCGAGTAGCTGGATTACAGGGGCGTGCCCTGTTCCCAGCCGGAGAATTTCGAGTGTTTCCTTACAGCTCTCGAGTCTGAGTTGGGTTGAGGCAGGTGAGGAATAATAATAAACAAGAGCTAACGTTCACTCACTCAGTACAAGGGCTCTGCTTGTGCCATCTCCTTCTCAGTCTTCGTGGCTGCTCTCTCTGGTGCACTGTTTAGTATCCGTGCTCTGTAGATGGGGAAGCTGAGTCCGGAAAGACCTGCTGCAGGTCACGTGGCCGGTGCAGTGGGGCTGGGGGTCTCCCCAGAGCTCTCTGGATCCAGAGGGCCTGGGGGCTGGTGAAGCAGCACAGTGTGCGGGGGCCTAGCAGAGCACCAGGGCAGGAGGGCCCAGCAGGGAGCCCGCAGAACAGTGCTCAGGGCCTGAGTTAAAGCGTGTGTGTGCGTGTGTGTGTGTGCGTGTGAAGGACCTTGGGGACGCGCCTTCCTGCCCTTGGCCCGCCTGGCTTTGGCAGCTTGCGTGAGGGAAGGGGCTGATCTGGTGGCCGTGCAGCAGGAGCAGTGGGCCTGGCGGATACGGGAGGTTCTGGTGTGTTTATGTCGGGCCCATGGAATGCTCAGGTGGACGCGGGAGCGTCTGGGGGCTGAAGGGGAACCGGGCTGGGAGCCTGCACTGGGGCCCAAGGGGTTGGAGGACATTGGCCGGGAGGAGGGACAGAGGGACAAGGAGGCATGGAGGAGAGGGGAGGGCAGGGCGTGCAGGTGACGGCATCCAGGTGTGGGCTTCTCGGGTTTGGTTTACGGTACTGAAACATGAAAAAGCAATAGCTGCCAACATTTAAAAACTCAGGAAAGTTCCCGTAAAAATAAGCTTCGTCGCACTTGGACCAACTTCACACAAGGAATATAGACATACGGTACAGAACTCTACGCAAAAATAAAAGGAAGGGGATCAAGAGATGGATGGGGGAAGAGAAGTGAAAGGGATTGAAAAGCAATTAGGACTGTGGTACACGTGTATGAGCTCCACACGGGAATGTAAGCGTTAGGTACTCCAGACGCGCGGCAGTAAACTGCAATTTATAAAGAAGCTTTCTGGTGCTCTGGACAGCTGCGATCCGGCCGGCCGTGAAATGCGCCCCGCTGCTTCCTCTTCTCATTGGGCACCTGCTTGGCCTGTGAAGGTCTGTGGCTGTGGATGTAAGTAAGGTTTGGGCACAGGAAACAAGGACAAGTGGGAAGAGGAGAGGGTGGGCAGGCGGG